AGAACCAGATCTGCACCCATCTCAAAGAAAACAGGGTTTCTGAGGCTCTGCTGGAAGCGAGTTTGGTATTTTGGGATGGCATCACTGGTCTTCATGAAGGTTAGCAGAGCTGTAGGGAACTTAACGCTCTTCTCCTTTATGTTCTTAATCAGTTCAACCAGTTTTGCAGCTCCTGACTGCACCTCTTTGTCAGGGCCCTCCAAAGTGATCATGGCACTACCTCTGATGATTGCAACCTCTGGACAATTAGCACGCATTTCTCGATTGAACTCTTCTTCTATGAGCTTGAAGTTCTTCTCCACAATCGGCATTTCCTTTTTGGTGGGTAGGCTTTTTTCCAGAACTGCAATCTTCTCCTTCATGGCATCAACCTCTCCCACAACCACAGCATAGCCACTCTCTGTGTAAACTTTGATATCATCTGTCTTAAAGGCCGAGTCCTGCAGTACCATTTCCATCTGTTTTGGCTCAAGTACATGAAAACAGTTGTAGGTCTCGGTGAGCTGCACGAAGACCTGATCCACTTGATACTCCCATTTCTCTGCAGCACCACCAAAACCTCCTCCTGGACCCTTGTCAACCTCCCCTCTAACCAAAACCTCCTCTTCATCAAAATTTAGCTCCACTGTGCAGCCGATTGACGACAGTTGTTTTTCAAAAAATGTATATGCTTTACAGTTGTCTCTCAGGAAAAACATCAGGAAAACATCTATCCTGAAAGTCTTCTCAAGACCCTTTATGTTTGGGTTTGTTGAGGTCTAAAAGACGGAAAGAAATCAAACAAATCTGTGAGTTTATGCTATAAGATATGCTACTTATTGTGTACCACATAGGTCTGGGCAGTAAGTCAAAAATGAATCATAACCCTCTTTCAAAACCTCTAATTGACGTTATCTTTGCCATGTCATGTATTTTATTTCTTTTCTCTTTACACTTATTAATACTTCACCTATTATGTACTATCTCTGCTATGTCCAGTCTGTGGCATGACAACCATCATAGAGGAAACTTGAAACGCCGAGCCCAATGCCCAATTGACTTTAGTAAACACAACATCAATCAAAAAGAAGAAAACTATGAGAAAATACCAAAAATATCTCAGCTTTAGTGGTTCAGCATATTTACAGCACAAACCTAGTTTGTGTGTCATTGCGTTCAATTAATCATGATTTTTATTTAAAGTCATATCGCACAGCCCTAGCACCTCAACATCCATCCAACATCCAAACACCATTTTAATCACCACCTCTTAAAAAAAGACAAGTATAAGTATTTGTTTCCTAAATAAACTCGTTTCACAAAAAACTGGATTTCACAGCAGTTGCCAGTGGTACAGATTCATACAGTCCTATGTAGATAAAACAGATTGACATTAACATTAACATTTCTGTTAATATGTTTTTGTTTTTCTTTGTTATGTCTGACTATGACACTGTCTTATAACAGAAATACACCACAACCCTGTTTCTAAAACAATTAGGCTATTGTGTACAATGTAAATGAAAGCAGAATGAAATAATTTGTGAATCATTTAAAACATGATGTTTTTTGTTTTGTTTTGTTTTTTATCTGTGTGCTAGTTTAGTGGCCAGACTGCTTCGAGCTGATAGGAAAGAAAAAGTAACTCAAATGACAACTCATTACAATCAAAAACTAACAGCAAAGATATAAAGCAGTACTGAAGTCTTACTTGGTACTATCAAGGTGAAAGTAAAGTGTCCCATGAGTGTATCACCATCTTGCTTGTTGTCACCCATGTTCTGAAAAGCATTATCTTTGATGGTATGGAGGTGGAGTGACATACATGGCATGGGTTACTTACTTGTCTACAAAGGCTTTAATGCAAAAGCATGCGGTGCTATCCACATGATGTATTTTTCAGGGAAGGGCTTGATTTTTTAAACACTAAACTACACTTATATTTTAAACTTTGTATCAAAAGCAAGACTCATAAGTTAAAGAAGCCTGAGAACTGTCAGCCACTGAAAACATCTGAGGCATAATAATAACGATGAATAACAAAGATGGCACAGCAAAAGTGGAGCAAACATATACTTCCAAAACTAAAGTGGCTGGTGTGTCTATTGCCCAAATGTTGTAAGAAGAGGAAGTGATACATCACTGATATTCTTCTAAAACAACAAACACATTCTGTAAATTTGTCCTTGACATCGAATTTAATGATCGTGTAGTTTTTAAAAGAGAGAGTTTTACTATTTAGAATGTATTCTTTGCAGTACTTGCAATGTGTTTTAACTATTTTACAATCATCTGTTTTTGTCAATATTGTCCTCAGCGGTCCAACTTTCCCTGGAGGCTAACTCCTCTAAAACTGGTTTCGCAACATTATCCGGCTCTGACGCTGAGTTTTTACTGTAACCAAAAGTCATGTTTGAAAGAGCAGTAAACTGTACCAGTGATTGGCTTGGCGATGGCTGGTCAGAGGTCTGTTGCGAATTTGTCCTGCTCACGGTCAGCCGCACTTCTCCACTCGGAAGAGTGATGGTGTGAAACTTCCTCTGCAAAACTCTCTCTTGATCTGTAAAACATCCATAAACAGAGTCACTGAAACAGCCTGCAATTAAACACAAATCCCCCCAAAAAATATTTTACAAATAATCGACTGTCCTACCGTCTTTTTCCTTGAAACAGATTTTATAAACGCTTCCTCCGAGTTTTTCTACATTACCGCAGTCGCCACCCCCGGAGTCTCGCCTTTTCTGAAAGTATCTCCTCACTTTCTCCTTCTCTCTGTCTGTAAAGTCAGCGGCTTCAAAAAACAGTGGATACTGATATTCATCCATTTTATCTGCAATTCTACACTAACATGAGAACTTTCAGCCCGTCTAAAACTTGGTTGTACCGCTCTGTGAGTGCCTGTTTTTGTTTCACTTTCACTTTTCAAGTATCGCATCCTCATACTTAAACTCATACACCCAGCAATGCAAAAAGTCCGCATTTAATTTTCAGGGGCTTTTCAGCTACCTACCTACTCTGCAGGTACTTTACAAGGTGTTTCAGCTGTCAGAGTATAACTCTAAATCATATTTATGTCTTGCTAAAGCACTTCTGGATGGATGCAAACTGCATTTCGTTGCCCTGTACCTGTGCATGTGCAATGACAATAAAGTTGAATTCTATTCTATTCTATTCTATTCTAACATGGTTTTGAGAAAGACATTTTACCAGTAATTATGTGAGCTCTGTCATTAACTCAAGCTTTAAAACATCAAAGAGAATTCTACAGATATGGCTTTTACTAAGAAGGAGGTAAATAAGCTCAGGAGATTTGTGGCAGTGACTGATTCATGTGATGAGGTCCTTTATGGGCAGATGTCATGCAGTGAACAATAGCATACATTACATTGATTCTTTAAACAAGGGTGTAGGAGCCATTTTTGGGTTAATACCTTATGTGGCCGCTAGAGGTCACCTTTTTCTGTTTTGTTCATGTAAATGTATTTAAGGTAGACGCACGTAATCGGCGTCAGGTGTGTCATTAATTGTAAGAAGGCAAACAGTTTGAGACCGCTGCGCTGTTATGTTAAGATGATATGGGAATAAAGACCAAAAAGGACAAGATAAGAAGTACTGGAGTTATTGGACTGTTTACTTAATTCATACGTACCAGTGACATCGCGTCACCCCCGTTAACGACCACCTCAGTCGCTTCAACCGTAGGCTTAGCCTCTACAATTAGAGAAGTGGCATCAGTTTGTTAAGATCAAATTGCTGAACAAATTATATAAATATGTTAGATTTTTCATTCTCAAAGAGTTTATTTTAAGAGCAAACAGTATATGTAAAAATTCACAGGGCAAATTCATAAAGCTACAGCTACTAAACAAACTCCAAATCTTTTATTATTCACTGCTGAGGAAATTAAACATCTTTCACTTTAGTGTGAAACACTACAGTTACTTTTGTGCTCATTTTGGTAAGTCATCAGTTACAGATTTGTCTTGGTCTTCCACAGTGTTCTTCCACATTCTCACATGTAGCTTCAAGTGGTAATCTACAAATATCTAAAGCTCAGAATCCAAACTTTAGAGTCCAATTGAAGTTAGCTTAGTTTATTATGCATTAACAAATAATGACACAGTTTTTCAACATATGGTTTGAATAACATTATTGAAATGCTCATATTTTAGATGTAAATTAACAGAAAGACCAGAGACCTGACATAAATTATAATTTGAACTGTCTCGACATCAACAGTGATCTGTGCCTCTTTAAATATGTCCTTCCCATTCAAAGGTGCTTCAGCAGCCCCGCCTACAAGGGCTGGGAAAATCCAGACTGCGCTGTGGCAGAAGTAGTAACACAAAGTTACACTTGGCCTGTCTTGAGCAGCCAGTTTTCTTTAAATTTAAGTTCAGGAATTTAAGCACAGAGACTTTTGAAGATGGATTTATTTGCTATTTAATGTTGTGTGGTTGAGCGACTAATTACTTCTCCAGTTTTTCCACAGAGTGACTATTTCATTGGCTGTTCAGTTAATAGTGAGTTGTATAAGAAGATAATAAGAATAACAATAAGAAGATTCCTTTTATCAGAAGAGTCAAAATGTTGTTCAACACAAAACAGCAGCCATGTTGCAAAGCAAGCTGCTGTCTGCACTCACTGTTTAATTTAATTCAATTCAGTTCAGTTCAATTCAATTCAGTTTTATTCATATATAACACCAAATCACAAAGGTCGACACTTCACATCGTAAAATAAAGACAATAATAATGCAGATATAAAGAAAAACACACAAACATCAGACAAGTGCTATGAGCAAGTGCTGACAATGCTGACCGAGAGTGGGAAGGAAAAACTAAAGCGTAACTAAAGGAGGATTGAGGGTTATCTGCACTAAACATATGCTTTACCAAAAATTGAGGTTTTAAGCCTAATCTTAACCCACACTATTTTAAATATCCCAAGAACCAAAAGTAAGCCTGCAGTCTGAGAGCAAAGTGCTCTATAGAGGTGATACGGTACTATGAGGTCTTTAACATAAGATGGGGCCTGACTATTCAAGTTACTGATGGTAATGCTGTGTTGAAAATGTATTAGCTGTATAGGAAATGTTCCCCATGATGAAGCACTAACAGAAGGTAATGAGGTAATCTGGATATGCCTGGTTATCATTGAAAATAATAAACATGCTTGGATTTGCTATTTGGTCCACCAAACAATCATAACGGTCATCGGGCTGATTGCTGCGAGGCGGAGGCACCTTCATGCTGCTGTTGCCCTGAGTGTAAACACCAGTGAGGACTCGGGCCACAAATACTCTCTGAGAACCATCAGCAGCTGGCATTGAATAGCCGGGGTTGGCTGAATAGCTGCCATTGACAGCAAAGTAGGTCCCCTGACCAAATAAGGTTGCTGAAAACAGAAAATAAAAGAGAGACATTTAAAGTTTTGGAATTATCAGACATTTATATCACTTCTCAGGTTAGATGTCTTTTTTACGTTTGAAAGATTCAAAGATCTTGTTAGGTGGTTTAAAAAACACAACACAATCCTCTGAAAATGGTCAGGTACAAGGACTGTAAATTTGTGAAAAAGCAAATGTCTGGAAAACAACCCTAAATATTACAAGAAAAAATGGCTGCTTGGAAGCAAAATATAAAAACATAAAGGGTAGGTCAAAACATTTGCAGAGCACTGTAATGTTCTGTATTAGAAAATAAAAAAAGAATATCAACAAAATAAAGCAACAGTGACATCAAATGTTATAACATTATTATAGGATATTTTCTATGCACCGGTGTTCTATAAACAGAATCAGGTGATCATACTGATTAAAGTTGATTGGATCAAAGGATAATTACCATGTTTCCCAGAAAAACTCCTGTTGAATCCATTTCTTATGATGGACTCACAGCTGTCCTGACTCGTCCCGTGATATAGAAGCCTTTCACGTGCTCCCCCTTCCTGTCTGTTCTTTTCAGAAAGCTTCTTCTTTTGCACTTCGTAGCTTTGCCGCAAATGGACATTCTGCAAGCGTTCAATCTAACACAAAAGAACAAAATGTTCAGCTGTTCAAGTTTCCTGTTCAACACAGTTAACTTAGATTTCTGGTAAAAAACCACCCACTTTCAATATATTCTTCTGAACTGTTTGCGTGAAGGCCGCCTTTACTTTGAGGTACTCTGAAGAGGAAGGCTCCAATGCAACCACTTTTAGATTTTCACCACTAGCCATATTGTCCCAGTACAAAGGAAGAGTAAAGTCTGGAAAAAGTTAGACCAGTTAACCAAAGAAGATAAAAAAAAAAATGTTTCTAAAATTATTGTTTCCAAAGACAAACAAATCAAGACAAAATCCATACTGAAACTGTCATAAATCCTGAGTGCAGCGCAATCAGACATAATCTCACAGAAGGCTTCCAGAAAAGGTAAAAAACGAAGGCGTATATTTTGTGCACTACATAAACTGACCATATGGAGTAACAAAGGGCTTGCTTTGCTCACATGAACACTTTTTAAAATAGTGATCGGGGAAATTAACATGAACTTTAAAAATAAAGAAATGCATAGACAAAAGGAAATCATGATTAAAAATATGTCAAGGAGCTCTAGCTCAGATCATAAATCCCATTAAAGTATTTTATCACCACTCTAATGTTTGTAAGTCTTTTGACATTTAAGATGTGCTAATTAGGACTCGACAGCTTTTCCAGACCACTCTTCTCACCTGAGTGATTCTCCAGTCGTTTTAGCTTGGTTTTTCTAGCTAACCGACTTCTGGCTTCCATCTTCTGCAGATCCACGCTCCACATGTTTCCGTGTGTGTCCACTATCTCTTTCTTGATATCATGCTCTAGGTTATAATTATCTGTTTTGGGGAGCCTTTCCCAGCTACCATCATATCCCAGGATGCACCACGCCACACAAGGGTACAAATTATCCTCCTCCCTAACTCTGACTTCTCTCCGTCGAGCAGCAGCGTGAAGCATCTGTATCAGCTCGGTGACCCCATCTTTTAACCCGCTGACTACCAAGCCTCCATCTCCACTCTGGTCCTGCTGTACATGCAAACCCTGGGCCTCCACTAGCTTCTGTAGATCCTTTATTTCATCCTGGGTGAAGTCTGCCAACTCCTCCTTTGTCATTTTTTTTGTGGAGCAGTGAGCCTGGTACAAATCTTTTACCTTCTTCATTGCATCATGGACACTCTTTTTACCAAGGCCCAGGAACAGGAAGATGGACCGCTGATGAGTAGTACAGAGGACACTCGTGTCTGTGTTAAAACAAGTCAAGCACTGATAGGTTATAAAAACACATCAACAGGATTCTGATAAACAGGAACTTGATGTTAACATTCATCAAACTACTTGTGTTACAACAGAAGGAAACATCTGTATTATTTGGTGTTTAAATAAAACATCTACTGCAAAAATATAACTGAATAGTCTTCATGAACTTGTCCTTGAATAGTTCCCCTTTTCAATTGCATCTATGCATTTTAAGAGTTTTATGCTGGCCTGTTTGTATACCTCCCTCATTTTTAACTCCTAGCCCGTTTTTGAACTTTGTATTTGTCCATTTTTGTTAGTCTCATGTATAATTTCTAAATAAAAAGCTATACTCAAGCAAACTTGGACTGCCTCTTTGTTCTGCTGTTAGGTCACTGGCTCTTTTAGTCAGTATGTTTTGCTGATAGCACTTTGCATCTTTATTTTGACTGTTGAGCTCCTGCAGATTACAGTATTTATACTTTTACTTATCTAAATAACCTTTATGCTTCCATTTGTTTTGTGCTTTACATCTACCTTAGTTTACTTAACTCAATAGCTGTTGGTATACCTTGGTTTTCCCGTTTCATGCTCAAGTTGTTTTTGTAGGAGGCACCGTAAACCTGCAAATACAAATGCATGCAGTAAACACCATCTTTTTATGACATGTGTTGTTATCGAACTGTTAATAGAATAGAATAGAAATAATCTAACCTGTTGAACCAAACTGCTAACATCAACATATGGGATTGTTGTGGTATCCAGAGTCCTCATGGACCTTCCAGTAATCAAAGTTTGGGGTGTGATAGTAAGTGACTTGCTGGCATATGCTTTTGTGCTCACATTTGGGGTGACTACAGTTTGCTTTTCTTGGATGATGACACAACAGGAGTCCTCTACCAGCTCTTTACTCACTTTACCCTGAGTCTTGAAGTACCGCTGAGCCCCTGCTCCATCCAGACCCAAAGTTTCTATTGTCAGACTGGTTAGAGCTGACGTTAGGGCCTGTTTGGCCTCCTGAACCTGGCATCGGGGTCCAGATAGAGACACATGTGGATTTGGAACATGTGAGGCTCTTAAAGGAACCTTGGTCTGTTTCATGCCAGTCAGGTCTAAGATTTTATGAAAACAGTCAACCATTTCAGGATGAAGCAGAGAGATTTTTTCTTTAGTTGTAACTTGATTCAACTGGAAGTCGTGAAGAACATCAGTGAGCTTGCTCACATTTTCACTGTAGCCCACCAGTCTTACTTTGGTTGTGGCAGATCCATTAGATCCTGGGACAAAGCTGATATCCACTTTGAGCTCATGAACGTTTTCTTTGTTCTTGGCTTTCATCAGGACTTCTTTCATCCTGTCAAGATCTGGAGATACCGCTGCATTTCCCTGCAGCTTCACAATCTCCACACTCAGATCGTTCACCACAGCTGCCAGAGCCTCATCCAGGTCAGCAGAGGACAAACTGGACAGAACCAGATCTGATCCCACTTCTATGAAAACAGGATGTCTAAAGTTTTGAAAGAGAGTCTGGTACTTGGAGATGGCACGGCTGGATTTGATAAAAGTCCTCAAATCTGCTGGGAGCTTGACTCTCTTTTCTGATATTTGCCTTATTAGTTCCTCAAGTTTAGTAGCTCCTAGCTGCTCCTCCTCGTCACTGCTTTCCAAGAACATTGTGTTCCTTTTCCCTCCCATGATTGAAGCCTCTGGCCAATGAGTGCACATGACTCAGTGAAACTCTTCTTCCAGTTTGAACTGCTTCTCCTTCAAGAAATCTTTAGTAAAAATCTGGTGGAAAAAAAGTACTGGATTTCAGAAATGTAATGTACAAAGAATAAATTTACATTTCTGTAAATCTGTCAAGTACTATCTAGTCAAAATGAACATCCATTGGTTTTAATTTTGAACTCCAGTATGAACACAAATCCCCCAACCTGAGGATCACCACAACACAACACAACAGAGCTACACCTTAGTTCACAGATTCACTTTGTCTAGGCTTTATTTCTGAGATTTCACACAACCCAGGATTCAAATCATGAATACATAATGGGCTTGGATTTACATCATTTTGAATGAAATGTGCTCTATTTGGAAGCAGCAGGGCCCCCTCCCCTTTCGACAGGTTCTGTGTGAGACTTTAAATCATTAAACTGTAAAATATACATTTTAAATTGTTATTGATCTCTTTACCCCTGGTCCTAAAGTGTGTATTTATTTTCTTACTCTTCTTATATTTGTTGTTTGTTTACTTGCACTGCTGTAACTGGAGCCTTGTCGTCTTGTCTCTCTACTGGACTGTATGTAGCGGAGATGACAATAAAGTTTACTTTGACTTCAGCAGCGAGCAGGCGCACCGAGGGCTCTCGCACTCGCGTATAGAATTTCGAAAAAACATCGGTGCAAATTATAAGTCTGTATCATGATGTCTGGTGTTTTCGTGTTTGTTGGTTTGTTTTTATTTTATTTTGCGAGTTGGTTATTAGATGCTGCTCCCACATCCCCGCCCTCTCCTCCCTGTGCCGCAAGCAGCAGGCGCACCTCGCAAACGGAGGGCGCCTTTACTCCCAGCAAATGGGCGATAGAAAACCGATCGGTGCCTATGACATTCCCAATATGCGCTGGCTGATATCGGGGCAGCGTGAGTACGAGCAATTTTATTTATTTATTTATTTTTTTTGCCGATGCCCGTGAATCCGCCCCCCACCTCGATGCCGCACCGGACAACCATCCGTGTGCTGAATGTGCTGTTATTATGTGTGTAAATTATTTTTAAATATATCAGCATACATTACAAAATTTAAAGGTCGGTGTTACATTGTTGGTTACCGGTGGCTGATGGTTGACGTGAGGATTTAATATTTTGAAGAAAATTAGTCTGACACTTACTTTGATCAGGCTCTTTACACGGAAGTGTGTTTGGTTTTGCACTTTATAAAGGAAGTGCAAAACCAAACAACCCTCCCCTTTTGTAGAGCGGAAACAAGTCCAAGTTAAAGCTAGACTGAAACTGCAAAGCATTTTGCTGACTGTGGTACTGGCAGTGACTGGTTATAACCACAAATCATGAAATACCATGAACTTTATCTTCTGTTTGTTTTTCTGTCTTTGGATGTGGACGATCCCTTCACCTTCACTTTACATTCACCTTTATTGGGCCACCCTTCTTAATCTTTAAATTCTGGTGTTTTCAGTCTCATTGCCACAGGTGTATAAAATCAAGCGCCTAGCCATGAAGTCTGCCTTTACAAACATTTTTGAAAGAAATTGTTCTTGTGTCATTGTAAAAAGGACATGGAAGTGAGCATGGCGTTGTGACAGGATGTCACCACGGCAACAGGTTAGTTTATGAAATAACCTGCTGGGATGGTGTCTATCCAACCCAGCAGGATAGACCCGTTTCCCAAATGTAGTTTTTATCCGGTGGGGGAACTACCAGAAAGAAACGCAAGTGTAGCCATAGTAAAACCTTGGGAACTACTACTTTGTTTTTGTTATTGCATGGTGTAGATATGGAAGTGACAAAGAATGATTGTAAGTAGATCATAAATGAGCTATGTTTATTGTTATTCATTGAGGTAATTAGAGAAATTACATAAAAATAGAATATATTTATCCTTCACATGATGCCTAATCTCTTACATTTACTTTGTGAAAGAAAGTTTCTACTCTTTTTACTGACCTCTCAGCATTAGTTTCATGTCTGACACTGTCCCCCATAAACATGACCCAGATTGTTTGTTGGCTAGTTAAGACAGAGTTTTTACACATAACACAATTTAAGCACACTGGGATTCCTTACCTTCTTTTCCACTAATTCCATATTCAAATCCCTCAGAAGGCCAACTTCTTATTTTGATGTTTTCTCTCCCTTTGATCTGATTATAAAGTACAATAATGGCATTTTACCTACAATACCTACAATATCTACAATATGTTTTATACAAGTCCTCTATATCTTACGTCTCCATAGACCACATTCCTGAGAAAGCATTAATCTCCCAGGGTTTTTTTTTCTGTTTCGCTTTCCTGTAAGTCCCTGTAACCTCCATTGGAATGTCATAATCACAGACACACCTAGATATGAAAATAGGTCACTGTGTCTCATATGGTGAATTTCCTTGTTTGTCCTGCTGGGATGGTAACATTTAGGGAACTTGCTAGAGTAGAAGTATCTTTATTACGAGCAATGCTGGAGCGGGTACTGTTTTTAACTTGTCTGTCTGTCACGGACCCGGCTCTGGAGGACTCGGGGTCCGTGAGCAGTGGTTATTATTATTATTATTATTATTATTATTATTATTATTATTATTATTTGGGGTCTGTGTCGTCTACTGTTCTGTCCACGTTTGTATGTAGAGTGTGTGTGCGTGTGTCTGCTTCTCTCTCTCTCCCCCTGGTCCTCGGGGCTGTTTACGGAAGTGCGCACCGTGGGAAAGGCGTGACCTGGCGACTGTCGTCATCGGGAGTACCGATGTAGACAGAGGTATTTAACCGGGACTCGCGGCGACAGTCGACGTGGGATTATTACTCCTGACTGGTATAGTCTGTGTGAGACGTGTGTTCTTGGTAGTCGGCTAGCGTGTCTATTTCACTGTAAATAAAGTGCACTGTGGCATCGCAGAGTCCTGCGTTTTGGGTCCTACTTTCCTCGTCCCCACGGTCTATGTTGCTGAGTAAAATGTGCTTGTGGAGAAATCTACTGTTGAGGAAATTACCAGACAGATATTAAATACTTCATTTCAAACACTGACATGACAATAGAAACTCTGATTTTGAAGGGGCGTGGTCTTACTTACCAAATAGTCATGAATAAATGTTGTACTTGTATCAGTATGCCTGTGAAAAATTCTCAAGGCAGGTTTGAGTGTTTGTAAAGAAGGCAGCTGGACTTCTTTTTGGTTCATGAAGAAGTACCTCTTGTACAAGAGGCTTCTTTAGCTCTCTGAAATACATACACTTTAAGAAACACTTAAAACATGTGATTCTCCAAACCATCATTAAATCAGAGGAGAAAAAATATGCTCCTCTCTTTGAAGTCACAGTCTTCATATATGACTGTGAAGTCATATATGAAGTCACATATATGACTTCATATATGAAGTCATATATGAAGTCATATATGTGACTTCATTATATATGAAGTCACAGTCATATATAATGTTTTTAAAAGAGATCTGAAGTCTGCTGATTATCTATTCTGCTATCTATTTATCTATTTAAATGATTATTATTGCTATTACTACACGAAGTACCTGTTAAATATGGCAATGACAGACTTTAAAAACAACTTTA